CCCCCCCACCCCACACACACACACACAATACGAGCAAGTGTCCATAAAAACGAGTGAGAATAAATGATTTCCAACAAACCCTTTGCAAAAAAAAAAAAAAAAAAACTTTAACCAATCCGAGCCAACGGTTAGTACGAAATTGTCAGGGGATTGAGGACCACTCTCGAGAAATGACGGCGATAGTCATCGTATCATACAAAATCTTTATCCGCCATCTCGAAGCTTCTCCCCCCTTCTACCCTACGAATAACAAAGATAGAAAAGTAGGAGATTAGTGAGGGCCCGCAAGGAGAAAAAGGAGATCGAGAGGAAGAAGGAACACGGCAGGAAGGAGGAAAAAGACAAGCACCACCTGAATTTTTTCCCTTCTCTTCTTTTGTCCTTTCTTGCTTGCTTGCAGAGCAGTAAACCCATTTCGCAGATGAACAGTTGAAGTTCCCAATATCTTCAACATTAGTTACCAGCCAAGTGATTTTTGCAGCCTGCTCTTCTGCAGTTTCCTCCTCCCGGGACCCTCCGGTACCAGCGGGAACGGATAGACCTAATTTAATTTACCCTTTGCCATCACCCGCCGAAGGACGTCAAGGATCAGGTTCACCAAACCCGGTCAAGCCCCAGTGCCAAAAACCACCCCCAGGAGGGGGGGGTGCTACGATATGATATGCATCACATCGTACAGATTTCTCAAAATTTCCCAGCGTGTTCCCCCCCGCGCAGACATTCGGGCGGTATTGTAGAACTTGTGAGGTTATTTGGCAAGTGTCATACTGGAAGTACAATCCCGGCTCGATATAAAAAAAAACACCCCCTTTTCCCAGGCTGATGCAAGCGTGAATACCCCTGGAATCTCTGACGGTAGTGCTGGGGGTTAAAACTGTTACTGATAACTTACTGCTATGCTCCGCCATAGCCTCCGTACATTAGGATGGTGAAGGGAGTGATACCGCGTGATGGCACTATAGTGTAGTAGCACGTTCACCGCGGCTAGACAAAAAGCCATGGGCAAGTACTACCGTACACCATACAGCGCAGTTCCGGGGGACCAAGCGTTCGAGAAATTTTTCCAAAATATGATGTGTACATGTACAGAACACAAGTTAATTCAATATCGCACCTGTATTAAAAACTCTTTTTCCGATTCCCCGCTTCATTCCTTGTCGCTTTCACCAACTATACTTTAATACACTATCACGCCGTGTCTGCTGCGACAACCAAGACCATCCCATCCCAGCGTGTAAGAAAGTAACTTATTTTAAATTCGGTCGATACACAGTACTCACACCAGTCTACTTGTATTGCGCTTACTAGGACTCTCATGCTCATGTTCCACGCGCTGAAAAGAAAAAAACGAGCAAAAGCCACAACTGCCCATCCTCCACTCCCACCTCGCAAGATCACAGTACAAAAGCAGAGCAGCACAAACAAATCAGGGAGAGAAGGAAAGGGAGAGGAAGAAAGAAATATAATACACCATCTAACCCCCAACCCGAGCCGAAATTACTATTACTTCCATCCATGCTGAACGAAAGTTACCAGAGTCACCAGTGTCACCAAAAGAGATGGAAAAAAAAAAAGGTCTTTTTCAGAACAAAGGAAAGCAAACCGACTGACAAAAAAAAGTCCATAAGGGAGTTCTAGTTACCCCCCACCACTTTCCCATTTTTTCCATTCACAACACCCCTCCCTTGATTCAATCAAACCCGTCTTCCCTGCGGGTACCCCACCTCCCTCCCCTGCGGCTCAAACTGTCCACTCCAAGTATGCGCTTTCCGTGGCGGCGACAACGAGCGGGTCTCCGGTAGCATAAACCCGCTCTTCTCGTCCATGGGACCCCCTGGAAGAGCGATGAGACTAGGACTCCCAGCAGGGTCCTCGCTGCTAAGCCTGATCGGGGGTGGCGATGGCGTAGCTTGTCTTTGACGTTGAAATTGCTCAAAGTGGGCTTGACGGTACTTTGTGAATTCCTCCTGAGTGCGCGGAACGGTTTCCTGGTCGGGGGACTGTGCCGATGGTTGGTATTGAGTGTTGGTCTCATCAGGCATTTGCAGGGGCCAGAGAGTCTGTGGTGGTGAGAAATTGGAGGAGTTGGAGAATTGCTCGGGACTTTCGACTGGCTGCGCTGGTGGAAATGGTGGGAAGGTTTGAGGCGCTGGGGGGTAGCTCTGGCGCTGCTGCTGGAGCTGGAGCTGTTGCTCGAACTGCTTCCTAAGCAATTCCTGTTGCTGTTGGTATACCAGGAACAGATCCTGAGCGCTTGCGGGTAACGGTTGGCCGGCCCAGATCTGATCTTGTGGACTCTGTGGAACCTGATTGTTCGGATTATAGTACTGGGTAGAATCCCGTTTAGCATCGACGACGCCATCAATCCCAAAGTAAGCCCCTTGGAAAGGCGGTGTAGTAACCCCCGGCGACACATCCGGCGATCCAGTATCCGCACCACCATCCACCAAGCTCTGCTGGAAGGCCAAAAACCCAAGATCCTCCCCGCCCTCCAACTCGACCGCCTCCAAATCCTCAACAGCCGGTCCAGAAACCATCCTCCACTGCTCAGCGACCGTCCAGCAATGACTCTTCCTATAGACATACTCTATCTCGTCATCACCAGCGTCGACATTATTCTGTCCACCCCCCGCAACCGAGAGCAACCCGCCAGGCCCGGGAACCCAAATACCGCTCAACCTACTAGCCCGGCGGTTATCGGCTTTCTGCCATGGCAATGGCCCCTTGAGATTCTTGCACAGGAAATACTCTACACGATCACAATACCTAACACCAGGAGCATCCACCACCACCAACGGTAGCGACTGACAGACACAATAGATAAACAACCATCTTCCCCTTCTAGCGTCAATAAGATCCTCAACCGTCTTTCCATTTCCGAACTCATGCTCCAGCTGCTTGAACATCTCCGCAAACTCATTCGGCGGTTGGCGGTGGAACGAGTCCTGATTGTACGAACTGCGCAGGACAGAACCCAATTCATCCCCCTTCAGCTTCTTGCCAGACTTCGATTTCAACTTCTTCGCCGCCTTGGAACTAGCCGTCGGCGGAGGAGTGGCCGGAATGCACGGTAGTCGGGGAAGATCAAACGGCATGCTCGGCTGCACGGGCATACCAGACTGATCATACGTTTGCTGAATCTTCCGTATTGTCGTTCTAGCAGATTCCTCCTTCCCCCTAGCCTCCGCATCATCCCCGTCCGAACCGTACAGGGTTTCAAAGTGAATACGCTCGCCATGAATCCATTCGCGATCCACAACCAGATCGTACAGGGCAGAAAAGTCATTATAAACCCTTTGCAGCACAACTCTGTTCAGCCCACCAGTCTCGCTATACCCGCCACCCTTCCCTCTCTTCCCCGCTCTTGGGGGCCAAGATCCGTAAACATGCTTGTAATAGCTGAGAGTGTGTTTCCTCATGGCATCGAAAGCCAATCTCCACGGCTTGTACTCGGGGTATTTTCCATCTCCGGTAAATATCGATGGGTAGTCAAAGTTGCTTAGTCGGCCGGAAACGCTCGCGATGCGGACATTATGCATGTCGATCGATGCCCGATCAAGACGCTTCTTGGTTCTCTCCGATACCTGGGCGAACCCGGGATGACCTTTGATCTCCTCCCACCTACCACAAGCGTGGACGAAGCCCTCATGATACAACACCGAACATTTCCACCTCTCGGCCAGGATCAGCGCTTCAACAATAGCATCATCGTCATTCCTCAGGTCATCTATCGTTAGCGCCTCGACATAATGCTGGAAATTACTCTCGGCCATGGCGGCTCCACCCAGCCCGCCGGAATCCAACTGGCCCGGTCCCTGAATCTTCTCAAAGATCTTTTGCAAAATGTGAAACGGCATCTCCCGGTCGGCAGTCCCGACCAGGAAACCACAATTTAGGAACGCGAACAAATTGCGTGCATCAATCAACCGTTGGATCGTTTCATCGGTGACGGAGTTGCTATGCTTGTGCTTCCTCCCCCCCCTGCCATCCTTTGGCGGACTGGAAGGTCGAGGACCAAATTCCAGAGCAGGATAGTAAACTCTGTAGGTAATGGTCGCTTGGGACGTGGCCTGATCGAGAGACCGAGCATATCGTGATAACTCGGGAGGGGGTGAAGAACCTCCGTTTGCGGCGTCCTGGCCCTCGTTGACGGTCATCGCGGCGACTAGTGTTCCTGGCTTTGAGAAATTTCGGCTGGAGGATCGCTGAGGAAGACCGGCGGGAACATCCAGAAACAAACCGTCAGGTTCCAGGCCCGTGCCCCCCGGACTTGTTGTGCCATCCGGAGATCCGTATTGTGTGTCTTCAACGTATTGACCGAGCGCCGAAAATAACAACGGAGTGGAGGATATGCGGAAGGAAGGTGCAGTAAATTTAGGGCTCGGCACGTTTCCAGGTGCGAGAAAAACCAAGGTATCTCCTTGGTCATCCCACATATCCGGCACCTTAAAGAAATGAGTCAGCAAACAGAATAAGCAACGGTATGTCTCTCCCGATAACGGCTAGAAATGGGCAATCCAATCATACCGGTTCACCCTTAGCTAGCGGAGCATAATCGTATCCCTCCAAATGCTCGGTGCTCGCCCTCGTCAACCTCCAAGCAGTGGGAGCGTCCACGTCATCCTTCTTTCTCTTTCCAAACAAACCGCCACCACCATTCCTTCGCTTCTTCCTAAGAGCGACACGGGCAACCTCACTCGGGGCAGGACTAGGGGCAATGGGGAAATTCATGTGTGAAGAACCGGGTCTGGATGATGTGGTTGCGTAGGAAGCGAAAGAAGCGTAGGAGGCTCCTGAAAAGTTTCTGTTCCCGCCTCCGGGGGAAGTGATGGGAGAAATAGGGTGCGGGGATAGCGGTAGCGGTTGAAGGTTAGGTGACAAACCCCCATAGTTTTGATTCGATCCGCTCATTGGAGGGGTCGTGGATTCACCAATGCCGTGGGTTGTTTTTGTGGAGGCTGGGGACGGGCACGATATGGAGAGTCTTGGAGCATTCTGCCGACCATTCACACCAACGGAAGCAGGTGTTTCGGGTAACGCGAGGAAATTTTCTTTTGGTGGAAGCGGGGGAGTGGGAGGCACCTGAAGGCCCACTTGCGCAGTTTGTTGTGATGAATGAATCTGAGTCGTGGGTGCCGCCGCCGTCATCAAGTCCGTTGGCTCCGTGGTCCCCGCAGTTATCGGGGCGGCGGTCGTTGTCACAACGAGTGTTTGCTGCTTCTGTTGTTGCTTAACATCCTCTTCGGAAGAGGAGCTTCCAAAGAAGTTTGTGAGTCGCTTCATTGGATCAGTTGCCAGGAAAGAATTTCTGCGCCTATCCGCCTTAGCCACTGCTATTGTTTTCTTGGACTTCCTATCCTTCACTCGGGAAGAATGGAAAAAGCGACGGAAGAGTTGCATATATCGGGCGAAAAGCCTCTTTTTAAATGTTTCCAAAGTGCGTCCAATCTTTCCGGAAAGGGGTGGGGGACAGGACTTATAAAATACCTTTTCGTGCTGTCAAGTTATCTCGTGTTTATTTTTTTTCCTTTTTTCTTTTTTGCTACTTCTCTCCGATACACTTTATGTTCGGGGAAGGGTGGGGTGGGGAGGGGGATGCCCCAGCCCTGCTTCAGGCTTCTTAAAAAAGGAAAGAAAGCGACGTGGGGACACGGATGAGGACAAGGGAAGTGGCACTCGCAGATACTTGTCGGGATGAGAGGGGCATGCGCTCGGAGAGTGAAGGCTTGATGCTGCTTGTTTTACCGTACAGGGATCTGTAAGGTACGATATAAGTTGTAAGGTTCGGACTACGGTCAACAAAATGCAGTTGAAGGAATCACCAGCACACAATACCGTAAGGGCACCAGCGAGGAAGAAGAAAAAAAAGAAAAAAGACCGGTTAGAAAGAGGCTCGACTGATCCCTTTCCCTTCACCCAGGCCCTGAAAGGAGCTATCAGCAGTCAAAGTACTGGCGTGCCGTAGGGGCTGATGCGGGCACGGGTGCGTATTTTTTTTTTGGAGGCCCTTATGCGAAGCCCAGATATGTGCGCGAGCGAGTGTGCGTGAGTGGGAAGGTATGTACCGTAACAACACCGCCGTACCTCGTTGGCTACTGTATGTGAGTGAGCACTACTTGGAGCAAATTTTTGTTGGACGGCGTTCCCGTTGTTCAAGGCCAAGAAAGTCGTACCGGACTAGTAAAGACCGCACACAGCTAACCCAGTTGCAGGCGAAAAGGGGGAAAAGAGAAGAAAAGAAAACCCTCGCGAAGAGAGAGAGCGTATAGGAGAGAAAAGCCGACAGCAAGGGTATGTGTTGGGGAGTTCAAGTTTTGTATAGCACGATTCGGTAGGATGAGTATTCTCTCTCTCTTTCTCTCGTGGCTAATCGGGCACGAGTCAGTCGGGCGGTTCAGAAAGACCCTTGACTTGCTCCTGGCGGTTGCAGCAGGCAAAGCAATAAGGGAAAAGAAAAAAAGGGGGATCAAACAGCGTGATGCGTACGTACGGTAGGACACTCCGGTCTACCAGTAATAACTATGCCGTGCCTGCGCTTCTAAGATGGACAACCCAATGCATAAGTGCAGCAAAGTGCAGGTGGGTGCAGCGAGCGGTAGACTGTAAGTTGGAACAGTTTGTGGATTGCGCAGTCGGTCCGTCGGGTCATCAAAAAATCAGCAGTAAAGATAGTATATCAAGGGAGAAATAAGGTGCAAAGCTGAAAGCTACAGATGAGGTTCAAACGACAGACGGACTGGTGATGGATGGCGATGAAAAGGAGGGAAACGAAAAGTGAGAGGGGGAGAGGGGGGGGGGAGGAGTAGCTGGGTCATTCCACGACTTCTCAGGAGACAAATGGAACCTTTCACTGCCGATTCTCCCGTTCACATCACTCAACATCAACACACTGCACACGGGGCAGGAAGGGGTGAGTTTGCCGGCATACAGTACTCACTTCAAGAGGTCAAAGACACTTTTCAAGATACAGGGAGAAACACTCCCTAAGAAGGAAGAAATGGAAAGAACGGGGAAGAAAAAGAGACCTGGCTTCGCATTGGTAATCCAATTATAGAAAAGACGGGAATCAGATTTGTGCTATGATATTGTAAAATTACCCATGACGCAACCCCCGCCTGCCAATAGTATACTCGAGTACAGATATCAGGGTCCCAGCATTGGCGATTTACGGGTATTGTAGAGTACGGGATTATCGCTCTTGGCGGGTTAAAACTTTGGCGAGTGAAACTTTGAGGCTCTTCCGCGCACCGGTGCTCTTCGCCAGATCGAGTTAGCGGTAGAACCGGTCTCGAAAGGACCAATACGGTACGGTCCCGTGCGATGCTCGGGCTGGGAGTCGCCTTCCTCCGCGAATGCTGCGATATAATACCGTCCAACCCCATACAGACTTTCATACCCGTGTACTTTGTGCCGTATCGCACCACCACCACCGTTTCGCTTACCGGTACTCTCTCTCCTCTCTCTCTCTCTCTCTCCTTTCCCCTCTTCTCACGCAAAACCTCAGCCCCTGCCGGTACCGGTACTGTTATCCCATTTTCTATCCATACTCCCCCCCCTCTCCTCTGAGCTACCGTACCGTATTGTACTCGAGCACTGCAAGGTCATTGCCCCCTGAGAGATGAAAAAGAGTGCAGTCTCGCCCCAAAACAAAAACAAAATTAAACCGAGCCCGATCCCTCGTTTCCCACGAGTACTTACTTGTACGAGCAGATCCATGGTTTTCCCCCCGTACCCCTCATACTCGAGCACCTGCCGCGCGCTCGATCCCTGACGAGAAGGCAGGAAGGAGATACGAGCTCGAAACAGCTCGTCGCATAGAAACCGTACCTTTCCCTGAAAGTGCCCGAAACAGGGATTAAAGAAATACGCGTAAATGGTACCGTACAAGTAAATATCGGTGCGCATCTGAGCGCCAGTACCGTATACAGCACAAGTACTCGAGTACCTAGGTAGACATAGAGCACACCCCCTGACTTTCGGGTATTTCTTTCTAGCCCGGGGCAAGATATTACTTTCCCAATAAAGACATGCCGGTGTGTTAGACCAGCCCTGTTTTATCCAGGCAGAACCCTTCTCTCTGGCCAAAGGGAAACGATATGAGCACTCGTACCGTGCAGTGATTTACAGGCTGTGCTGGACCCGCCATGACGGGGGGGGGGGACGGGCGGCCATGCACAAAAGGGGGAAGAAGAAAATAAAAAAAAGGAAAGGGAAGGGAAGAAAAAAGCGGATCCGTGGATCTTGTGAAGATGAGACTGAGATTATGATGATGGCGAGACAGTCTTTGTATAGATCAACCACAAGTTGGCAGTGTACTATACCAGTGCTATACGAGTACAGTCTATCCGCTTCGGCTGAAGTCAAAAGTGTCCGCGCGCCTCGGACACCGGTAGAGAAGAGGATGAGTCTGAGGACGAGAAACTAAACAGAAAATAGCAGAGCAAAAGGGGGAGGGATTACACCGCACTTGACGATACCGGTAATAAGTTCTGTGGGGGGGATAAAGCTCCTCGAATCCAAAAAAAAAGAGATGCTGAAGTGAGGCTCACCCTTGATCCTTAAAAAAAAAACATCATCAGAATACCGCACCGTGTTCGAGCACTCGCAGTGCAAAAAGGAATATCACACTCCTCCAGCAAAGCCCTCTCGACAATACCGGTATACTGTACCGGTAAATACTGTAGATAAATCTCCCGGGTACGGGTACCAGTACGGTACCGAAGAAGATCCCACTACCGCGTTTCGCCCAGAGATTTGTGGCGCGCAGTACCAGTTACAGGTACAACATCCCGGATCCAACCCGAGTGAAAACATCCGTGCGATGACAAAACAGATACCGGTATTGGGCATTTGAAGCTCAACAAAAAAAAAAAAAAACCCCCCGGTACCTTCCGCAAGGAGAACTTGTACCGTAATCGAGTGTCCGCACACGTAGGCTTCGGTATTGTGCGTACTGTACCCGTACTACGGTAGTACATATCACAGCAATAACAATGACGATAACAACAATGAAGCGATGAATATTGCCATACCAATGAAGTTACCCCAAACAGGCACTATACCCCGCAGAGCGAACCATACTACTGTATACAATACCGTGAGCCAAAACCACAGCACCGGGTTGCCGGTACTCCACTGTATCGTAAGGAGAAAAAAAAAAGTAACCGAGCAAGGATAGGATACGATAGGACGGTCAAGTGAGCGAGCTGATACTTTCTTTCCTTCTTCGTTCGTGCCTTACGAATACGTCGCCGTAAGACCATTCACCGACCAATGGGTACGAGTACTGTACAATACCGTACAGGCTGTATCGTACTAGTACGAGCAGAGCACGAGTCTAGGGACAGAAACCACCAGTAGAAGTGCGCTTCCCCCGCACATGCAAAGCAAAGCAGCCACTCTCTCAAACATTACAACACCACCTCCGTTCAATCTTTATCCATTCTTCCATCTCGTCACAAATAAATATCCGAGTCTCTTTTTTTTTGGGGGGGGGGGGTTTGTCTGTCGACCAAAGACTGAAAAAAGTGACATAGGATCTTGGCCCTTTTTTCTTCCGGGAACCTGTGGTTTTTTTCTCCTCGATAAGTTACCGTAGTTGCCAAAACATTGATCCATCTTTTGCTGGCTGGCCCTAAGCTTTCGTGTACTATATGATACAAAAAGCTAGCACAGTTCCGAAAGCTTGAACCGGTATTCTTGTCTTCATCGGACATCTACTTGAAGTCAGCCACTTTTGGCAAAAGCACGGCAGGCACCGCACGACCGGTGATTTCCATCTCTAGCCTGGTAACTCAGCATAACCCCGATTTCCAAGGAACCGGACCACTTACCGACAGAAAATACATGATGATACCTTAAATACCACTGATACATTGTCCCCGAGTTACATACGGTACCTTCCATCCATCCCCAATATGATATGATATTACACCGTGTCCGGTACTGTACTAGTACTCGAGCACCGATACCGCACCCATAAATCTCGGCCCTTTCCCACCGCCAAGAACAAACTCTGCCAAGAACTATCTCTCCGGGCACTGTGCTGTGCTGTACCCTCCCGGATACGACACTGTACGATACTTGTACGAGTATGCACTATACCGTATGTAAAGTACCGGCAAAAAAAACTTTTGGAAGAGGGCAAGTACCGTGCGTGGGCCGTGGTACAGGTATCATACATACTGTACCGTATCATGCCATGGCACAGGCGCACAGCATGATATAGACTATGCCGTCCGGAAAATCTCATGCGATGCTACGCTCCCTTCTCAGCATGGTGGGGCGTGGCGAGCGAGCGAGCGAGCGACAAGGCTTGAAATGGGATTCTTGGTTGTCAGCTCGAGATGATTGCGGTACTGTACGGTACGGTGTTGGACGGGGATTGGGTTGGTTAGGTCCGGGCTGGAACTAAGAAAATAAATAGATAGACTGGAACACAACCGAGCTCGCTTCCTAGAAATCGGGTTCAGATCGGGAGGGGGGATGATTCCTTTCTTGCCTGCCTGCCTGCCTGCCTCGGGGCTAGACTATTTCATACGTACCGTACAATACTGTACTTGTACCAGATTGCAACTTTGCTTGTGAAAAAAAAAAAGGAAAAAAAAGACTCCTGACGATCTGACCGAAGTTGAAGGCAAAAAAAAAAAAAGTGATTTCTCCTGTCTTAGACATACAAAGACAATGTTTAACCCGATCTAGTGACGGTCAGTGTTTTTTTTTAAGCCAGCCTTTGGGGCCTGGAATCGCCTTCAAGAATGAGCTTTACTATTCTAGGTACGCTACAGTAGGGGATGTTTCTTTTTACTTGGTCAGTCGATGACAACATTTGTCTGAGACATGAGGGGAGGTTTTTTTTTTTTCCATCTCTGCTCGGATCATCGGATGTTTCCAAAGTTGCGATATACGGTATCATCATTGGCACTCGCATCGCAATCACTGTACGAGTACAAGTACTCTCGTGGTCTGATTCTTCAAACTTGCACCCACCGTGTGGCGTAGCAGCACTAGCCATATCTGCCTATCAACAGACAAGAGAGATGCACCCTCGTCCCCTTCCCTCCACCTCCACCCACACACATGCGCTGTAGCCACGCCGCCCGTGACAAATCCCGGACCGCATAACCTTCCCCAACAGGGTATCGCCTGGGTGCTCCTCCGCCGGCCCATGCTGTGCCAATCGTATCATACAGTGCATCTGTCAACTGGCCCTTCTGGCGTTACAGTACCCGCACGAGTATCATCACCCCTAACAATAATGATTAATCCACTGGTACCCTGGACCCAGTTTCCGAAATAAGCTTCACTCACTCGCGAGGCTGAGTCGAAGCCACCTGCTACGCCCGGATCTTCAAACAACCGTATCGTCACCCCCGCCGTATTGACACAAAAGTTCCTCAAGCACGTGGGGGTGGGTGGCGCAGCGCAAACTCATGGGTACAGTACGGTACTGGGTCCCCGAATTCGATACTGAAAGCTATGGTATAAGTAATCTCCAATCCCCAGCCGGCTAAACGAGGTGCAATAATGAATGCAACTCTCGAAACCAGTCGGAGAAAACTGTTTCTTCCGGTGAGAATTAAGCTTCAAACTTTGGAGATGTCATTCCCCGATACCCTATCATAGTGTCGTACGGCTGAGCTGAAACGCTCGTGTTACCCCCCGACCCCGTGTCACTAAGTCTTGTGTGACCGTGGTGTTGTTGGCGGTTTGAAAACGGACCGGATTGGCCCTTTTACCCGTGCTCATACACTTGCAGAGAAGTGTTGGTCTGCGGAGGACCCCGTAGCGGTTGGTTCGGATATGCGGACGGCGCTTGATCATGGGTTCTCACCCTACCTGCGTTCTCTGGTGTGTAGCTGTGTGTGTCTATGTTGGGAGCCTCTCAGCGATCTATGCGCGCACGCAAAACCACTTCGGTAAAGGATCAGTGAATTCCCGGTTCCTTCTCTTCACCCCGAACGAATATGATCAACTAGCTTATTTCGCAACCCCCCAATCGAAAGTGGCCGCCAGTAGGATCGGTAGCAGAAATGGGGGGCCCGGATCCATCACAGGATTAGAACCCACGAGGATATTTCATCGGAGCTATTCGAGCATGCATAAAATCCCGGGTCTGAATCATGATTGGAGCCTAGAGGAGCAGAGATCTATCATCTATGAGCAGTGCTACTAACCGCGATGCAGCCTATGAGTGACTACCGGCAATTCAACTCAGTTTGGCGTAGGTGAGTGCGAGCGATAAAAAAGATAGCACATCCACATCTCGACCTGATATGAACACACGTTAGTCTATCCTAATGTCGGTATCGTAGCTCGATAGAATCACCACGTCACGTACCAAACCATACCCGTACGGGATTTTGTAATCAGATCGTGGAACCCCTAGCCCAGCGGGTGGCGGTGAGGAGGAAGACCAACTGGCAAAATGAAACAGGGGTGAGAAGCTCGGAGTCGGTACAATCGACCCAGGAATCCCATCTCCAACATAACTCTGGTATAATCAAAGTATGATAGTTCAAGACAAGCTGAATGCAACATATTATTATTATTCAGGAATTGATCCTATAAAAAAAGGGAGAAAAAAGAGCGCTGGAGATGGAGATCGGAGCGGAAAGTGAGACGGTGAATGGGATAGCCCGTCTGCGTCATCAACGATGGAATATATTAAAATCGTCACGGAGTCTCACTCGATTCCCGAGATCACTTCTTTCAAGACTCGTCACGCCACGGTGATACCGGTAAGTTTCTGAATATAATACTGCCGGTGCTTAGGTACCGACTCCACTAAGGCGCCTGCCCCCCACCCCCGCAGGCGTTTTTGGACTACATGGCGGCGAGGTCAAGTCTTGATCTTGCCAGACGGCATCAAATAGTCATATCCCCTGAATGGGACCATAGCACCCTAAAGATAGCGGATCCGGATTTACACTGCTTCCGGTAGAGTGTCGCGTAATCACGCAGCACATACTACCATCCTTCCAGGCAGGCTCTAACCCACCGTAAGAGCTGGGGGTTGACGCTATGGTCGGACTTGCCCCTCCAGAATGGTAAAAGATTATCTTGTTTTCTTTTTTATTTCTGTCGGCGCGGGGCCTAGGGCCACTCCTTCTCTGTGTTGTCTCCCATGCTCACAATCGGGGAGTTATTCTGGGTATCCTAACGCGATCTGCAAGCATTTTTTTACGGTAGTATCTAGATATTCCTGATATCCCGACCTCTGCGGTGGGGTGGCACTCGTGGGGGATGTAAAACACCAGGTAACCTATTACACCAACACAAGAAGGTCAAAGTTGGTCGCCATCGACCATTCGTGGCTGGTGTTTGTCCGGGGTGAGGAATCCACAACTGCACAGCCTATCGCTAGGCTACCGTATCAAAATATACCTACCGGTGCCTCGAGACGGAAATATATCCCTGTGTCTTTACCCTTGTGTTCGTGGAGGAATGCGATAGGGTCTGGAGCCAAGTATGCGGCCGTACGCCGATCCGCTGTATGATATGGTAAACACTGGCCGTGGTTACTTGTAACTCAGCTTACACTCCGCATGCAGTGGGGGTGATTGGGGTGCTCCCGGTGGGGGCTAAATGATTATAGGGCACCGCCGGGTATCGGTGGTCACGATATATCACCTAAGGATTGTGAATCTGGCTGGCTGCAAATATCATCGACCGGCCGGTCACTTGGAGGCCCTGATCATAGCCCAGAGGATTCGGGGATCGGACTTCAGATTTGATCGAGAAACATTTCGGCATCACATCGTTAGACAACCCCCACCCGGGAGCTAAAGTAACCCACAAACAACAAGAGATTGAGAAAAGTGAACCGGGGAATTCCCCACACCCCATAGATCGCTTCCAAAGTTACAACCTCACCCCCTCCCCCTCCTTCACCACAACCATCTCCCAATCCTTATACGTGCCAACGTGCGCCAGGCAAAGCCGCACATCCCCCCGTGACTTCGCAAACTTCACGATCTTCGAGATATTGTCTCGGGTGGTGTCCGCATCCTTGTGCATTCCGAACCCCATCCTACCACCGGGCGCGTACTCTTTCAGGTGCGCTTCGCAATGGCAACTATCCCCCCCGAGCAACAAGTACCCCCCCTCGACTCGCGCGATCGCGATCGTGTGTCCGGGCATGTGCCCCGGCGCGTCAATGAGCAGTAAACTCCCATCGCCGAAGAAGTCGCAGGCCGCATCCCAGGGTGTGAAGCCCTCGATGGGCTTGAAATCCCTCTTCGTGAGTTCCAGCGTCCGACCCCGAGGAAACAGGCTCTCCAGATAGCGCGACTCCGGGTTGATGGGATACCCCGGGCGAACGTGAGCTTGGGTCCCCGCACCGTATACTATCTTTGCGTTGGGGAACTTTTCGGGGTCGCCGGTGTGATCGAAGTGTGCGTGTGAGCAGAATATGTAATCGATGGACTCGGGCGCCACGCCGTTTCGGGAGAGCCCTGTTGGCGCGTCCTCGGGCACGTATGGGTGCAGGAAGGCTTCGAAGGCGGCTTGCATTGCGGGCGGGTGCGCAGAGGTGTCGTTGCGGATACCGGCATCCCACAGGATGTCCAGGTTTTTTTCCTGGTGGTAGAGGTGGAAGAAGTGTGCGGGGAATTCGTCCACCGTGTCGGCATTTGCGGGAGTTGTGTCGTTGAAGAGGAGTTTTTTAGGGAGGAAGGAACGGCCGGCTTCTAGAGTGTGGACTTCTAAGGTTGTCATTTTGCGGGTGTGTAGGCAATGGTGATTGGGTTACTGTCTGATTGAAATGTGGAAGGGGAGCTTGGAACTGATGGCTGAGGGGTGGTTGTTTTATATTGGTGCTTTCGGTATCATAGCTATGACGCAAGTTCACGGGGAGGAGGGGGGGACCAAATTGTTGATTGTTAGGCTGTGTGGGAGGTGGAGGTGTCACTATTATCCCTAGTAGCACGCCCATTCCGCTGCTATGGTAGTAGGTCAGCAATTGTTTCCATATCACCCGATTATTGGGTTGCCAGTAAATTAGTCCCTGTCTTTTTAGCCCACACCTTAGTCAGCAACCCATAGCGTAAAAGGATGGTGGAGTGGACCCTCTGCAAGGCTTTCATTATATTTTGTCTCGGGGACCGCCTTTCCGATGTGCTCCCCTCCTCTCCCTCCCTCCTATATATCTGCGGTCTCATTTCCCCAGTTACCTCACCAAGTCTCGCGACGGAGCACCGGCAGAACATTAGATCATAAGATCCATAGTTGGTATAGGTGGGCGGTTTGTGACCCGCTCGTTATCGGAAATTCGACTCCTGTAACCGTTTCGCTGAGAAGGTTGTTGCGTGAGAATATCTAGAGGTCAAGATCGTCTTCAAAGTGGGTAGGCCCCACTTTTGCAAGGGGTTTGGGAGTTTGTTGGAATCGGGGCTCGGGTAGGGCGGAGTGCCCAACCGACCGGAAGGGTTAGGGTTGAATTCGGATTACTAAGCTGGTCAGGTCGCCAGTGAACCTCGGTGATGGCTCGTGCTGTGCATTTTCGAGCCATCAATCTTGATGAGATCTAAGGGCGCGTCTGGTTGCCACCTCAAACCTTCATTTTGACCCCGGTTATGAAGGTTTGTCACAAAATGCTATTTTGCTTTTGAGTGGCATGTCTGGTTGACACCAAAACACAATATTCAAAATGCAATAATGATGTCAAAAATGAAGGTTTCTGAAATACTGGTCTGACTAGCATTTCACAAACTCTCATTTTGGAGCAGTACACATTGGCTACAATAACCCACTCCCACTGCCAATAGTGGAGTAAAAAAATTTAAAAAAGTAAGTATTGAAATACAGGTGCCAAGGTGTTTTGCACATTAATTATTATGATTTTTTTGAGTGACCTTTTTGGAATTGATTTTTCAGGTGACCTGCCACAGCCACCCCGCATGATATACGGAAGGAACATTGGGCTTTTGGTTGCATTTATTGGTTGTGGTTTCTTTGGTTGCTTTGTAGGATTTCCTTTGTATCAGGATTGGAATCGGTTGCCGCGCGACGGAACCTGGCGGAACAAGACGGAAGGATCGCGGCTGCACGCGATGCCAAGGACTTTCCTTTGTATTAGTGATCAGGGAGGATTTCCTATCTATATAAGGGGGTGTGCCCCCTTATATTTTATATTTCTTTACGCAATCTGGTAATCTCCTTCGGACACCCATTCTTACATTTCAGGGATATTCCTTTACCTCTTTGAAGCATTTTCGGCTCGGTTATTTATTTTGTACTTTGTTTGTTGATTTGTTTCATCTCGCTTGAAGCATCTTGCTACTTTTCTCCCCTCACTTAGGGTCGAGTTGGTGTGTGCTACCTAGCCTCGAAGGCACTTTGGGCGAGATATCCGTGGTTTAAGCCCGGTAATCCCAAGTGCAGTCGGGTGGGAAGACATGTCGTCTCCCCCCCATTCTCCTCAGGCTTCGGCCTTGTCGTTTGAGGTTTCCTCGTCCATGTTCACGGATGCGGAACCTTCCTCCTTCTCCTAGGGTACGCCCTTGGTTATCCTTGACGTCGTGGTCCCACCACATGATAAGGTGAAACACCACCGCTCCCTTGTTCCTTTTGAGATCAGGTCCTACCGGGCTCCGGGAGGTGACTACAAGTTCCTCTCGTTTGATCATGATTACGGTTGTGTCAACACTGTCAATAAGGCATTTGATGATGAAGTGAGGGCTATGGTTATTGCTGTCAAGCCTGTCACGATGAAAGATGTGGAATGTTTGGTGAAGGGTTGGTTGATTGGTAGGGGTTGTGTGGCTGGATGTGGCCTAGACCTCGCTTCGACGGCTGGATTCTTCGACCGATACAATCCGGATGGGGGATCGGAATTCACGCCATCCCACGACTCGTCGGCTCCTGGTGATTCACAGGTGGTGATCCCAGAGTCCATTGCGCCCGCTCCAGAAGATGATTCCTCTACTACCATGGAGGCTTCCAGTTGGGCTTCTACCCCCCCGAGACAGATCATGTTGCGATCTGTAGTAGAAGAAATGATGCCGGAAACACTGACCCCTCTGGCTCGTAGGAGTCACTCCACCCCCGCCCTGTTGGAAGCAATGTCGCTGTCATCTGGGCATGAGAAGATTTACAGGAGAGGAAGGTTTGGACTCAACGCCAGTTCGGACTCTGATTACAGACCCATGCCACCCCCATTTGCGGAACGAAAACGACGTGGACGATCCCCTTCCCCTGATTCAGCTATGATATCTATGTCCAGTGGGAGCTTGGGTTCAGTACTCACCCCCATCAAGGGTGTCCCAACCAAGGAGGGAAGAAAGATGATGGTGGTCCCCAGGGAACAGCTAACCTTGGGTGAGATTAGGCAGCAGACAGCCCCCGGATTCAAGCAGGTTCCATACCCAGCATCGACTATTGAGTCCACGGATAGGGTGAGTTCCCCTCCTCTAGCTACTGCTGATGTGCTTCCCTCTGTGGAGGTGATTACTAGAGACACCCGCATGGACATGGGTGGCGATAAGAATACCGAGGCTATGGGATTGGGGGACAGTAAGTATGCTGACTCCGAAGCAATTCCCTCGTCCCCAGTCCGGCCCAGCTCGTCCATTGTGGCACAACCCCCCACCCAGTCGGAATCGGTGGATGCCCGGGTAGCAAGAGCTGAGGATGCCATGAGGCAGTTGGATGCTGCAGAGGAGGCTTTGAGGAGGGTGGATGAGGATTTGTATGCCCCACCTTCGAGACGCTCTGAGTCAGTTGTATCTCGGGACTTCATCCTCAGGGTACTTGATGAAATAGGAACACCGGCAGCCATACCTTGCACCGGCAATGCCCCCAGCCATTCGGAGGATAGCTCGGATTCGAGTTTGGAGTCTGATTACCAGGATGAGCAGGTGCGACGGGTTTTGTTTAGAGGGAAGGAAGGATATGACAATCTGGAGGATGTGACGAAGGATATGAAGGTGATATTCCAGATGTTGGATGAGTCACGGTTGTTGTACAGAGGCCTGAGGAGTAGGGTCTTTGAGTTAGAGGAGGAGAATAGGAGGTTGGAGGAGGCAGTTCGGCAGAGGACTGGACTCACAAAGAGTTCCCCTGCCCCAACCCCACCCCCGCCCCCCCCTCATGTGAGGAACACTCCATCTGTGAGTGGGGAGTCAGCTGCGGCTGCTCCTGCTACTAAAAAGGTATCGTGGGCCGCTGTGGCCAACAGGCACATGGATCCGGTGGCTCCCAAGGCTACGACCACATCAGCAGTCTCCCCTCAGGCTGACAACAAGGGGAAGAAGTGTCATAACTGTGGTACTATGGGGCACATTGCGAAGGATTGCAAGAAGCCCAAGAAGGAGAAGGTGAAACCCGTGGAGGTGGCCCTCCTACTGCCGGCGGGAGGAAGCTCATCTAGCTCTTCCAGTTCGGACAGTGACGGTGGAGTATCAGCTACCCCCACCCCCCTGGCTAACAAGAAGGATAAGGCCAAACCTAAGTTGGTTCAACTTAGGAAGCCTGATGTGGCCAAGACGCCTTTGATGGATGCGGAGCCAGACCTCCCGGAAGGGCCTGCGGGTGCGGTTCCTGGGGCCAGGAAGACAGTGGTTGGACGGAAGAGCTACCTGGCCAATACCCGGTTTGACAAAGGTGATAGCAAGAGACCCGCACCCCCCTCGTCTTCGCCTACACCCAAAGCAAAGAGCCGCGGTCTCACAATCCGATTCCTGAACCGAAAGTCCGTTGAGTTGCCGGACAGTGTCACGATGGAGACCATTCGTTCTTGCATCAATATTCTGCTGTCCAGCAAGGGCACGGTAGTGGGTTCGATCCTGTACATTAAGGAGGCAGTATTCCGGACCCCGATTGGATGTATCTTTATGACGCTGGCACAACACGAGGTCGGCCAGATCAGCGGGCAGTTAGAACGGATTAGGATGATCCTTCTCAAGGAACTAGCAATCCCGGACTTTGAGTTCCAGCGTGACATAGACAAGATCACCATTCGTGTGGGGCAGGTTCCATTGGCGGACACTGGATATGGATCAATCTGGAAGGTAGAATCATGGACCGGGGACAAGGCATATGATGGCCTCCGCCTCGACATGGAACAATCCAACCCAGGGGTTGACACTGCCGGACGGCCTGCCATGTTGGGATCGGCCAAGGCTATGAGACAGATGAATGCCTCTATGTGTGGTATTAGGTTTGTGGTGGAAAAGAATGATGCCATCTTGGCAGCCCTGGCTAAAGGCACTGTTTGTTTAAGGGGCCGCCCCTGGCCAGCAAGGATCTTCATGGAACATCGCCCCCCAGTGGTATGCCAGAAGTGCCTCCAGGTTGGACACATGCAGGTCACCTGCGCATTCCCCTCCCGTTGTCATTTTTGTTTGGTATCGCACTTATCCAAGGAACATGAGTGTGGCATGATTAATTGCCCGGGGGTCAAGGAGAGTGCGTGCTCTCACACCCGGAGACTGTGCTTGCAGTGTAATAGGTCCGACCACTTTACCGGACACCTGTCTTGTACTGCCACAGAGACTCGTGGTACTCCGCCAGTGCTCACACCGGATGCTCCCTCGTCCGAGACAGTTGATGACACCGCCTGTAAAGGCTTCTCGGACAGGACGATGAGAAGGAACAGAAGGGAGAACGATGGCGAATCGAGAGATGCTGACTACTACAAGGTCATCCAGGCATCCGAAAACCTTACCCGGGCTACCCTGGTACCATCCTAGAAGTTCGTTGGGAAATGCAGGAACTGCAGCGAGACTGGGCACATGGCATACGAGTGCAGGAAGGCACTCAGGTGCAACAATTGCCATGAGGTTGGGCACATGTTTAAGAGTGGTGAAAAGGAAAAGGTGGTCAGGTGTTACATCTGTCATAGGGAGGGACATACAGCTAAGGAATGTGAGGAGGAAGAACTTAAGAGGTTGCGGAATCAGGCGAGGAATAGGAGGAGACAGGAGAAGAGGGGCAAAGCCTCATCGTCCAAAGGCAAGGAAGTTGACCCCTCCCCCTCCCCGCCCCCACCCCCTCCAGTGTCTCCTCCACCTCCTACCAAAAAGAATGGTCTCCCCAGAATTGGTCGTCTGGACAAGACCAGGTATGTTGGGGGTATGGTTTCAGAACCCGTTGTTGTGGGGTACACAACTATTCATGGTGAGGGCTCTACAAGCTCACGTGGTTCTGCAGAATCCCCATTTTAATGCATTTTACAACCCTTGCATTAAACATTGGAAAGGGGGTGAGGAATCGGGAGGCGGCATTTGATTTGTTTTCCTATGTTGATTTGTTTTTTGTTTTTGAACCACCTGTTGATGCTGATGGTTTGCATGTGCCACATGAAGCCAA